GAGCTAGTATTTAGGCCTACACATTGTACATCACCATCTACACACGTGATAACAATTAACTCCAGCCAAAAGATAGTTAGCCCTAGGGTGAAACTAGCGTGGCAATAAACCTACGCTAGCTCAACTTACAACAGTACGGTATTAAAATGAATAACGGGAAAGCATCTGCAACGTTCTATCTATATGAATCTACTATGTGTTAATTAAATACTCACGTCTAGCACCTCTTAACTTAAATCATTATAAACGAAATCTCAATTCAACGCTAAGTTGACTCGGTAAACTCACTACTACGGCTATGGAAACCCCGATAGAAACACTAGGGGCGCCAGATACTAAATCAAATTTCGCACTCTGCGAAACACTCCCCCCCCCACCTTCTAAGCAAAAATATTAGAACCTTGAGACAATTTTCTAGTCACTGCGTATTAGGATTTAACTACTAGTAGTCATTACAAATTAAAAGCCTAAACGATCATATAATAACAATCAGATCCGCTAGTAACTCAAGTTCAATACATCACTATATGTCTACATAAAGCTATTGTTCTTCAACTGGTATCAGCAAAATCAGTCTCTGCACTGCTCGCTTCACGTGGCTCGACCTTCCTGATTCACTAGTAGTCTTCAACTCGACACTCCTCACCAATCCTCTTGAGTCTGGATAAACTTCAGAAACTCTACCAAGTCGCCACTGTCCTCTCTTAACGTTCTCCTCCTTAATAACCACAACATCTCCTTTCTTCAAATTACGATGTTCCACATGCCATTTTTTTCTCACGATAAGTGTAGGAAAGTAATCCTGTGTCCACTTCTGCCAGAATTGGTCAGTCAATCTCTGAACAAATCTCAATCTTTATGCATTATTACCCAGCTTACACCAGGGTCCACTTGGAGGTCTCACAGATGAACGTCCGAGAAGAAGATTATTTGGACATAAGTAACTTTCTGGACTCGTAGGATGCTTGCCAATAGGTCGCTCATTCATCAAGTTTGCAAGTTCATAAAGCACTGTCTGCAACTCCTCGTACGACAACACCTGCTCTCCTATGACATGGAATAACGACTTCTTAACTCCTCGAATTAAACTCTCGGTGACACCATTCCGCCACGGTGCGTCTGGTGTGGAAAATGTCCACTCAACTCCATGACGAACTCCGAACCCTTTGATACTCTCCTTCGCTGCGACTAGTTGACTGCCACAATCACTGAATATTTCATTCGGGTATCCTCTTATGGATACAAACCGTCTAAACACCTTCAAAAAGGAATCCTCACTATAATCCGTCATCAAGTCTAAATGAACTGATCTTGTAACAAGGCAATTGAATATTACTCTGTAGGCCTTGCCTCTCACTCGCTTTTGGACTTCTCCCTTGACTTTCAGTGGTCCAAACAAATCACATCCTACCGAGCTCCAAGGTGGCGAAGGTTTCAGCCTCTGCAAGGGCAAGGGTGCCATTTGCTGCCTTATCTCTTTACCTTCAAACTTCCTACATCGGATGCAGCTATGTCTTATACTGGTTACTAACCGCCTAAGTCGCACCACCCAATAATGTGATCTGATCTTAGTCATCGTTGTGTCAACACCATTATGGCCGTCATCGTGTGTCATTACAGCGTACAACTTAGTAAACTCGTGATCATGTGGCAGCAGAGGAACCATTTCGTGGTTGTAACTGAAATGCACATGTTCCTTAACCCGATCTCTAACGACAATAACTTCATCTTCTCGAAGTCGTGGACCTAAGCTACCATACCTTTTGAGGAACTTAGGATACTCTTTGTGCATTAGGTCTCGCATAGGTTTCTGAGCTTCCTTAATCCAATATAGCTCCGCTCCTTTTAGTTTCTCTGCTGTTACCATCAGCGATGCTGACTTGAAACTCTTACCCTTCAGAACCTCCAGGACAATAGCCGTCACTCTTAATAACTTTGAGTAGCTGCTAAACCTTTGAATCTGGATAGAATTAATAGATGACTTCCACTGTCATCACAACACCAATTCTCTCTGGGATTTCTTGAGTGCACCTTTGGGAAATTGGCCATTCACTGGCTGGCCTACTCAGGAACTCTGGACCATTTGCCATCTGCTCCTTTCGGACAGCACACTTGGAAAACCTCTAGATATTAAATCTGCCATATTAGACTCCCCCGGTATCCACCACCAATCTTGTGGATCAGAGAGCTGTTGAATCTCCCCGACCCGGGTGGCTACAAAAGTCTTGAAACCATAACTCTCCTTCTGTACCATGGCTCTTACTATTTGGCTGTCCACAACGTAGAAAACTCTCTCAAACTCCATACTGATCTCATCTTTGATTGTCTTAGCTAAACGAACACTTAACACTGCTGCGCTAAGTTCTAATCTTACTATGGTTGTTATTTGAATAGGTGCCACCCTACTCTTGCTTGCCATGAGCCTCACGGAGTAGGTACCATCTTTGCATTCATACCGTACATAGGCCACGGTTCCCATTGCTCTTTCCGATGCGTCTAAAAACAGTATTAGGAGTGGTTTTATCCCTTCCTTTACGTTGCTCGGTTTAATGCACCTCTCTATTTGGACTTGACTGCACGTTCTAATGTCGTCGAACAGCGCCAACCACTCTTTAGCATCTGCTTCTGCTATCAGTGCATCCCAAGCTAGCTTTTCTCGCTCTTACCGTAACTGGTGACAACAGCCCGAGGGGGTCAAACACGGCATTCATTCGGCTTAAACACCTTCTCTTTGTCAATCCATCCGTTATGTCATCTACCACATTGCCGCACGCCACGCTCAATTTGTCTGCTATTTGCTCCCACTTCAAGCCCAGTACCTTCAATGCTTCACACTCGTTCGAAGAATTGCTGGAAATGATCCACCTTTTAATCTTGAAATTTCCCGACTCCAATACTTTATCCATTTGCTCTGTCTTCTTTAGCGCCTTTTCCTCACTCTCACAGGAGTCCAGAACGTCGTCCATGTAAACGTTTTCCATAAGCGTTTTGACAGCCTCCGGGAACTCTCTTTCACTCATTTTCGCCGTCTTATGCAATGCACTGATTGCGATCGTTGCTGCAGGTTTATCACCAAAATTTACTGCGGTCACGCAATATGTACTAGGTGTTCTCCCAACCTCCATATTTCTCCATAAGAACCTGTGACAATGCTGGTCCAACATAGTTATCCCTACACTGTGATACATTTTTCGTATATCACCTACTATTGCCGTTCTCTCCCGCCGGAATCTCAATAAGACACCTAACAAACGGTTGTTGAGATCTGGTCCCTTTGCCCAGTAGTTATTCAGTGTGTGACCTCGGTAGTTCGCACTGCTATCAAAACTATCCTCAGTGGTGTACTCTCACTATCCGGCTTAGGAACTGCGTGATGGGCTATATAATGAACCGGTCCACGGTACTCATGCAACTCTGTGTCAGACACCTCTTTGGCTACCTCTCTCCCAATCATGTCCTGTATCTGTTCATTGTACAGCTTCGCCTTTTCTGGATCTTTACTCAAACGTTTCTCTAACGAGTGAAGTTTTGCCAAAGCTACGTTTCTGTTGTCTGGCAACTCGTTAGGATTCTTCACCCAAGGATATCTAGCAATCCATCGCCCATTTTGGTATGTTAAGCCGTCTTCTATCAAACTTAGCTCTCGCTCCTCCTGCAACGTGAACTCCTTTGCACCTAATGGGCATTTACCACATTTACATCCACCACACTTAGGGTTACACCGAACTCCAATACTCTCGATAGTCAAGAACTGATTATAAAGAGTATCAACTTGCGTCAAATGTATAGCTGCCAACGATTCACTCTCGCAAACTGGATGCCATCCTCCTACGCATTTACCAAATGGACTGGTACTCAACATTAGATTACCCACCACCTTTATCTTCTGAGGTTGAAGATTGGCGTAGTCTAAGCCGATCAACAGCTCTACTCTGCCCACAGGTCTATCAACTGTCCTCCAATCCACCTTCAGTAAACCGCCTAGTCGCTTGACATCCTGAACCCTTAAGTCACTGGTGATGCTCTCCATACCATATGCTTTAACCTTCACAATATCTCCACTTCTGTCTTTCAATAGTATGTCGTACAACTTTGTTTCTACTACGTTTTCTTCTCCGCCTACCTTGGTTAGTTTTATCTCTACATGATCTCCTTTAGCACCAACTCTTCTTGCAGCCTCATGTGTTATTATTGATGCTGTTGCTCCACTATCAAATATTGTGTTAAGCTTCGGCCCATTTCTAGCTTTAACAGCAATCGCCATCAGCATACAACCTCCAGGCTTAAAAACCGCACCATTCTGTTTCACCTCCCTTGGCTTCTCGGGCTGTTGAAAGTAAATAGATGGATGGTGTTTTCTCTGGCAACCATCTTTCCCACAGTATCCTTTCTTACATTTAAATACACCATGACCTGGTTTCAAACATCGGAAACATACTCTCTTTTCCTTAACTAGTTGTATTCTGTCAGTCACAGCTTTCGCCAGGTATGCTCTGCAGTCTTCTGTCGTGTGCTGGGCACTATCGTGGATCAGACACCAACTGTTAGCTAGTAGTGGTTCACGAACATCAGTCGTATGCACTGATGCAGTTCGTTTGGTACGCTGGCTTGTGATATGGCAGCTACGCAGACTCTCTATAGAGTATTCTACACTCTTCCTTTCCTCTTCCAAGAAACTCAATAAACTAGACATCTTCTCAGTTTCTCCGATTTTATTTTTCTCATCATGTATGTGTCGTACCCATCTTTTAAACACATCGTCCGGTAATTTCTTCTCTATTTCTCCAACCACTCGAGAATTGGCCATTTCCTTCTCCAAGCCAGCTCTCGGTAGCTAACCTCCACTAGATCGATGAATTCCACCAACTTTCTATCTTCACCCTCCTTTACCGCTCCATGCTTCACCAAATCACCTACTACTACATCCACCAGCTTTGACCTATTACCATATCTGTCGTCTAACCTCTTCCACATCTTTTCAATCTTGTCCTCCGCCGGCATAACAACTTTCATTGGCTCACTACCCAAACAACTTCTCAATGTATACGATAGCTGGTCACTATGTGTCGTTGGTTTCACAAACCTCTGGAAGTCCTCTTTAAATCTTGAATATAGCTTTACATCCCCATTAAATTTAGGGAGCTCCATTTTCTTCAACTGCATACGAGGTTCTGTAGTCACCACTTTCGCCTTAGACTCTTTGGTTCCCACCTCATGAAATATCCTTCGCATCTCCTTATACATGTCTCTAAACTCATCTAACCATTTATCTTCCTCATCCTCGCAAGTTGTTCTCGGGTGGGACTCGGACCCACGATCTCCAGATCACTAGCTTGGCATCCTACCTCTAGACCACCGAGTTTGCGCCTGATGGCTAGGGTTGAATTCGAGTCCAAGTAAGCAGCGGGTACTGCAGTGTTGATAGTTCTATCAACACTCGAATTCAACCCTGGCCATCAGGCGCAAGCTCGGTGGTCTAGAGGTATGATGCCAGGCTAGTGATCTGGAGATCGTGGGTTCGAGTCCCACCCGAGAACAACTTGCGATTTTTTTTCGCAGTTGTTTTTAAATGTACTGAGTATTCGGTACATTTCCACGTCAGGTAGGGCAAAAATTACACCTATACATGTAGTAGTAGTAGTAGTATTTATTATTATTGTTATTATTATTATTATTATTATTATTATTATTATTATTATTATTATTATTATTATTACTATTATTATTAATATTATTATTATTATTATTATTATTATTTTTATTATTTTTATTATTATTATTTTTATTACTATTATTATTTTTATTGTGGTTGTTTTTGTGATGAAAAACGATATGGTGGCTAAACGAATATTACATGTAAATATTTTTTTTTATTTGTTTGTTCCCCGACAAAATTGTTCGTCTTCTTCGACGGGGGAGGGGGGCGGCTATGCTTCCCCGATGGGGGGCTATAGCCCCCAGCCCCCCTCTGGCGCCACCCCTGCTCGGGGCCCACTGAAAACATTCAAAACTTGAAAGCTGGTGGGTTGGGTCTTTCTTCATGCACATGGCGTTCCTTTTCGAGAATGTAGTGATGATCACTGATTGACCCTTAGAGGTCATATGGCCATGACCCTGTATTCCCTTTATACGCACAAGTGCTACCTATTGTATTTAGTCATACGCTGGAAACACCTGTCATGGTATTACCAACTTTGGCTATTTTAATATTGCACCACTAGTCTTCTGGGGGTGTATATA